AAAAGGTAAGTTTTATGTAAGTTTTACTTGTAAAATCTTATGTATTATCTTTAAGTTTTACTTGTAAAAACTTGTTATGTACATATATATGTACATATATACCTTTAAAAAAAAATTTAAATTTGAAATTTCTAAAAATAACACAATACATGTTGCGCTTGTATAAGTTTTACTTGTAATTTTATATATACGTCACGTATATACATCATTAATATATAAATGTTATTAATTTATACTTACTTGTTAATTATCCAGCTAAATCGCGTAATACCTGCACCACTTATAAATTGTATGAAGCGGTCCTTATAATTGAAGGGCGATCACCCTGGACGACGAGTCAATAATATAGAAACACGGCGGAAACCTCAAACGGCGACGGAACTCGCTCGTTGGCCGCAGATTTGTTTTTCTTTTCCGACAGTTCCCTTCCAACGAGCGTTCCAGAGCGCGAGAAAAGATCTCTTTTCATTCGTCGAAGTTGAGCGAGTTCCTCCGGCCGGGCACAAAAAAATGTCGCGTAAATGAAGATAAGGAGGTTACGAGAGAAGTGTACCAACACGCACGCACGCACGCATGCACGCATGCAATCGCGGCATTATCGGGGGCACATACCTTAACGACAAACCCGTCGCAGTTTACTTTCGTTATAAGTTAAATGCGGGAGGATGCACCTGACTCGCCAAGCAAATGGCACTTAAGAGAGAAGACGGCCGAGTCGGCGTCTCGTATCGAGAGAGTGCAGCGGTTTGAATTGCATCACGATCGCGACGTACGAGTGACGAGCGCGTACATGAGTCTCGCTTTTTACATTACGAATCCTATGATTATATGTTATCAAAATGCAAATAATGTTATTGATGTCGTTATCGTTCGGAGGAAAAAAGTTCTACCGAGGAGCAATTTGGATATTGTACAAAAAAATATATCCGAGTTATTTGCCTACGCACGCGCGGGCTCCTCGCTCCATAAATGAGGAAAGAAACATTGTTGTTTATATGTAATATAAAAATACACACGGTTGCATAACGATATTGCGGAAATTACACGTGACGGCTGATCGTTTTTTACCTTTGCCACATAATTTACGATAATTCTGCGAAACGTACTTGCGGATTCTACTGCGCCTCCGTCGGCCAGCAACGAGACAGAAATTATATTCCGTCGGACAAACGGTGCTGAATAATCGCCCGGGGAATTAGCTGAAAACCCGGTGGAGCGTCGATCTCGGAAAAGCATTTCGACACGTTTTGCGAATCAAAACGTTTACGAGCGAACGGGCGAGCGAGCGAGCGAGCTAACGGTAGCAACGGTACCATTTCTTGCACATCGAGCGATGCACTTATACAACGTAAGTGCAACCTGTAATCAAGAAAATTTGTTGGTATTATACTTGCCGACAAGGAAAGTTGGTCGTAAGAATGTCACTCCGCGTCGTATGATTAGCTCGGCTTTAATAATATATGACCGCTCCGGAACACTATTGTGATTTACATATTGCTTCGATAATATTATTCTAAGCGTAATAGAAGCAAGCGGCGATAAGGATCATCTGCATCTACGCGATCGATCCAAATAATCGTCGCGTGCATACTTCGTGTGTTGCGTAGAACACACACGTGTGTGTGTGTGTGTGTACACCATAGAATTCTATATACAGGGTCTCCCATTTTAAATCCCCCAGGCAAATATCTCGAAAAATATGGAAGATACGGAAAAATGTTTCAGACAAAAGTTGTATGGTTACAAGGGGGACATAAAACAAAACTATATAAATTTATTTACAGATGGTGCCATTTCCGAGATATTCACTGTATTCACTATTCATATTCACTATTCATTATTTTTCTTAAATAGAAACCCCAATTTCTTATTACACCATCTTTTTCCACCAATTAATTTGAATAACTTTTATCTGAAACATTTTTCACTTTTTTTCATTTGCCTAATATTTTTTTGAGATATTTAAAGAAATTTTTTTCAATATTTAACTTATGATATCTCGATGACTATTTGTCGGAGGAAAAAATAGTACAAGACTTTTTTACTCTATTTGATCTCAAGACAATAGTGCTACAATAATGCTCTAATAGTGTTACAATAGTGCCCTAATTTGTAACTTATCGACTTTTGGAAATTTCAAGATCATCAAATTAAGAAAAATCAGGATGCTATTGTAACGATATATTCTTGAGACTAAATAGAGTAAAATAGTCTAGTACCATTTTCTCTTTCAACAATAAGTTAGCGAGATATCGTAAGTTAAATATTAAAAAAGTCATCAAGTTTTCCTTAAATATCTCAAGAAATATTAAGCAAATAAAACAATGTTTCAGACAAAAGTTGTTCAAATTAATTGATAGAAAAATATGATATAATAAAAAATTGGGATTTCCATTTAAGAAAAGTAATGATCAGTGAATATCTCGAAAGTGGCGTTATCTGTAAACAAACTGATATTTTGTTGTTTTATGTTGCCCTTTAAAACTATACAACTTTTCTTTTGTCTGAAATACCTTTCCGTATCTTTCATATTTTTCGAGATATTTGCTTGGGGGATTTAAAATGGGACACCATGTATAAGCTAGATTGAGAACTTCCATTGGTTTTCATGTATAAAAACGTTCCTAATAAAAACATAGTAAAACATAGAATCGCGCGCGCATGAGCTTTGCAAGGTCCCGAGAGGAATGCAACTGTACCATACAGGCACTTTTATTGCAGAAAATGTTAACATTTATTCAATATTTAATATTTATGTGAACATTAAGTGTGTCATTGAATGTGACATTGCGAGAGGAAATATTAAATATTAATATTTTCTGGAGAAAAGTGCCTGTAGAGTGCAGTACGGTGTAGTTACGTCCCTTTCGGGACCTTACAATGCGCATCCGAGTGAAATTTTAATACTGTAGATATTTTTAGGGGACGTGTTAAAGAGACGAGTTATCGGTCTAGTGTATAATATAGAAGCCTATAGGAAGGCATACGGATATAGAAATACACGCGAGTATATAAACAAGACTCTCGTTTTCATGTGGAACGACGAAGGATATCGGGCCAAAGCCCAATGCACGAATAAAGATAACTTTCTCGGCCGTGACACCGATTGAATATCGACACCTACGGATGTTGCGCATCCGCGAGAAAGAGAACAGAGAGGAGGGAAACATGTTCGCTGCGTTAATCGCAGCGCTCGCGGACAACCCGCCGCCGTGTCGACCCCAAGATGACACGACAGGACTGTTAGCGTCCGCAGGTGTGACACGGGGCGGAGGAGCGGAGGAGCGGAGGCGGCGGGAGGATTGCAAGAGAATATCGTGTGACTATACGATCGGCCGATGGAAACCGCATTTTTCCGCGGCGAGAACGAGTTCTTAGCCGCTCGCAGTCTTTGGTGAGGCCACTTTTCCTTTCCGCTGCGAGCAGAGAGCATTGTGAAATCCACGGACTGGATGGGGACGGAGCGACCGCGCGTTTTTCGTTCGACGACGCTGGTTTTCGCGGTAGCCATCTCGTTGAGATTGCCGTCGAGTGGCGGGGCCACGAAGCCCATAAAGCCCATTCTACATTAGGGTCGCAAATTGCGAAGCAAAAATCAACCAATCACACTCGATCATTCTGCGGCCGCGAGGAGAACAATCGACCGTGATTGGTCAATTTGTTTGCGACTTTGCCACTTGCGGCTAATGCGGAGTGGAAACTTTATGAGCGTCGCTCCGATTCCGTCCGGTGGACTTTTTGCGAGAATCGCGGTTTCCGGGGACGCTGGAAATGTCACCGAATTGCCAGCGCGACGAGACAGTACGGTACCTAACTGTCGGCTCACGACGGTTTCCTAAGACCTAAAGGCGGCGAGCCGAAACGCTCGGCGGAACTAGAATGACCGGTTCCGAAATGACTGCACTCGCGAATGCCTCGAATGCGAGGAGCCGAATCGTTAGTCGCAGAAAGGTCATCGCTTCCTCGATATGGATGTCCGCTCTCGTTGCGTTTCGACGAAATTTCAAGACGATCTCTCGTTGGCAAGAACATTCAAGTAGGTCGTCGCATTAAGCGCCAATCAGCGCGATTTGCGGTGCGAGGCTAAAACATTAAAATTAAGTAAAAAACGCAATTTCGCAACACTCGCTGTCCTTCGAAGCATAATTTGTTGTCGACGAGCTTCAATTAATTATGCTAAAAAGTGCCGATATCGGTGTCTCAACATTTCTGCTAAGAAAAATATATTATCTTAAGCATACGCGCAGGAATCAACGGTTAAGGACGTTTTTAAAACGTCGTACGAGGGCTAATTACATCGAGCGTATACTTGCATATGCAAGTAGCAATATGTGCATTCAGTCGATACTTATCCCAACGACTATGAATACTTATTGCAATATCGCATATCACTTCACGAACTTCCGTATTTACCAAACTAAATGGCAGAGTGACGAGACTTTAACTGTCGACGTATTCGTACGTATCGAAGACGACGGGATTTTCATAAAATACCGTGCGATGCTGATGAAGCGCAGCCATTTCCGAGCTAACCAATTATTCCAAAGTACTGTTGTAAGCTGGACGATGAAGCGAGCGAACGGAAAAAGAGGTGAATACCGCGCGCACTCGTCGATAACCTTCGATGACTGTCGCGAAATCCGCGGGGACTTTCCTCCGTCCTTCTTTGCGAAGAAAAGAAAAGAAACTTGCGCACTTGAACGTAACGTTGGCTGTTTTAAAATTCATGCGTATCACGAGGGCCGCCTGGTCACAGGCGAGGAAACAGGACGAGATCGCGTGTACTACAATCACGTACCTCCAGCAGTCCGTCTTCGCGTCCATCTGCCGTACTCGCGATGAATTACAAAAGTTTGCAAAATGTAATTTCATCTGCCGCGTTATCATGTTATTCACGTGTTTGGACACGTACGGCCTTGGAGCCGCAGAAGCGAACGATTCTCGCCACTGGCGGTGCGTGCGCAGCGACCCGCACGGATGGAGATTGAGTGATGGATTGAACTGCGGTAGCGACGCAGTTGAGACGCGCGTTGTGAGAGGCGCCGCGCCGGTGGAAAAGCGGCTGACTCGTCGTCGCGGCTCCTTCGGTCGGTGAAAGGACAGGCGGCCTAACCTTTCGCCGGCGGGGAGAGTCACGGTGATCCATAGATCTTGGAGCGGCCGCGCCGACAGATCGAAATTGAGATCGAGGTGGAGTCGCGTGCCTCGCGATCGACGGTCGAGGGCTCGCCGAGGTGGCGATTGCTCCTTTCGCACTGCCACGTGCCGGACTATCCCGAGATGGAGAAGCTCTCCATCCAGCGCCTAAGAGGAAGGGCCGCGCCGACCGGGTAACGTGCGCGATAACCAATGCCGGGGGATTAACGGCAGAGCCATCCGCGCGACGACATCGCGACAGAAAAGGCGAAGAGGAGAATCGGTCTCGGCTGATCGGCTGGCTGACCGCTGCCGATTGGCATTCCGTCTGCGACGTAATCTCGCGACATAATAGGCATCCTACCCGCCGATAAGACCCTCTTCGCCGCCGAAGGCGGTCGCCGACGACGACGATGTGTTATATTGTAACGGATTATCACAACGTCGACCTAGTTCCTAGTCTTGCAACAGCCGTTAGGCGTGTTCCTCTTATACACTTCAACCGTATTACTCAAGCAATGAACATAGTTATTTGCTTGATCTCGAGCGATATCTATAATAATCGGCCGTAGAGTCTTACGTAATAATATGAATATGAGCATCGAGCTATAACGACAATTTTCTCTTTCCATTCACGAGCCCTGGATATCCGTTATGAGTAGACAGGTGTAACCATCACGTATCAGATAGAATTGTATATCGGATCGGGTTACTTTCTGCTGAAGGAATTGAGAGAGGGTAATAAACGATAAGGAGACAAAAACGCTACTTTGTTCTCAGATGGCGTTATTACTGGGATCGATCTACGACGGTTACCGGGACCTGATGGACAACAAAAGCGACCCAAGAGTTAACGACTGGATTCTGATGAGCAGCCCGTTCCCCACGTTAGCGATCTGCCTGTTCTACGCGTATTTCGTTAAGGTCCTGGGACCGAAGCTGATGGAGAATCGGAAGCCCTTCGACCTCAGAAAAGTGATGATATGGTATAATTTGTTTCAAGTGGTTTTCTCTACGTGGTTGTTCCGTGAGGTAAGTCACCTCTTCTCGGATGCAAAGAGAACCCGCTACCTGATTTCGAAAGAGACTCATCTTCTTTTTTATTACTTATCGTCTTTTTTGCCTTGGTAGAGTTTGCTTGCCGGCTGGGGAGGACATTACTCCTTCAAGTGCGAACCGGTCGATTATTCAGATAACCCACTCGCGTTGCGCATGACGCACGGTTGTTGGTGGTATTACTTCTCCAAATTCCTCGAGTTTACGGACACAATTTTCTTCGTGTTGAGGAAGAAGAACAATCAGATTTCCACTCTCCACGTAATCCATCACGGGATTATGCCGATGTCTGTCTGGTTCGGAGTCAAATTTACACCCGGTGAGTATTCCAATGCCTCTCATAAAGTTTGCACAGAGCACCGTTGATCGACATTGTTAGTTGTTGCAACTCGTGCTATATATGTTTAGTCTAACGCGGAGAATGCGTAATCTCAAATTCTCCCTGAGAATCAAATCTCCCAATCCACTCTGGGGAATATTATTAATGAGCTATAGGTACAATTCAATGATCTCACACGATCTTTCATAAGATCCTGATTATTTCTGCTCGCAGGCGGCCACAGCACCTTCTTCGGTTTCCTGAACACCTTTGTACATATCGTAATGTATTCGTACTATCTACTAGCGGCGCTGGGACCACAAATACAACCGTTCCTCTGGTGGAAAAAATACCTGACGACCTTGCAGATGATTCAGTTCGTTTTAGTGATGATTCACGCATTCCAGTTACTGTTTATCGACTGCAATTATCCGAAGGCCTTTGTCTGGTTTATCGGCATGCACGCCATAATGTTCTACTTCCTGTTTCGCAACTTCTACATAGAATCGTACAAAAAGAAGAAATCCACTAGCGCCTTGAAGAAGCAAACACTGAAGAATACTGAGGATAATAAGCAGCATCAGCAGCAGCAGCAGCAGCAGCAGCAACAGCAACAACAAGCGCAAGGCGTACGGGACGACTCTCAAGAGAGCACCGAGGCCAGCGAGAACAACATTATTTATGCGAATCAGTACAAAATGGCCACCGGCTACATCTCGGATAGCGGCCTGCGAAACCGCGTGTTTATCGATAACCGAGGCTTCGACGAATGACGAGCCGGCGTTCAAAGGGCCTTCATTCGTGTCATTCATCGATCATCCATTCGGTAGAGGATTATCGTTTTGTTACGTTGTAGCGTTCAGAACACGATTGAGCGAGAATGCGAAATCAAGCGGTAAGCATATCCGGAAGATATCCAAAGAAACGCGGGAGAAAGGAGGAGGGGGGACGCATTAGAGCCATTCTCCGTGCGGAATTTTGAAAAGTCTGAGTCACACGCACACGCATGGTGTCGGTGTTGCGACATGGTATCTCTCGCGGAGAATTCTGTCGCGCTTCCCGCGAGCAAGTTTGCCAAACTGGAGCGCTGCGTGTGCACATATGCGCGTCTCAGCTTATCTGAGGATGGAAACCGAACGGATAGACAAGTGTCAACGGCTCGATCAAAATCGTCGTAACAAGGTTGCCGAAGTGACGAGAGGTTATGTTCTTCTCTCTCCGTTAGGACGCAGGATCGAGAAGCAGGATATCGCTGTCTTATCTTCTTTCTCGCAAAGAACGTTCGAAATTTGATCGCCGGTTTAGCACGACCGAGCTTAACACTCGCTCGTTCCGTTTCGTATCCGTTGATACTCGTACTGTACGTCGAGTAAATTTCCAGTGCATGCAATCAATATCTGTGATAGCTACTTCTGACCGCGACTTAACAAAGGAAGATGGAGATAATAATTAACAAAGTGTCTTCTGATTAAAAGCTTCGGTAAATCATGTTATTGTCCATTTCATCTTTGAATAACAAAAAACAATGTGAATGCTGTCTTTCCCTTTCGGCATTCTTGACAATCAATCGCGATTTATACTGTATGCTTCCCGAAATATTAACTACACCATGTGTACATATGCATCTGTGTTTGTGTTTGGGTACAAATATTGGGTAAGATTAACGTCTCAGAGCACATACGTCACACGATTTCTCAAATTGTCATGAAAATATTCGAGTGACCTTTTTGAAACTTTATATCGTGAGACATATTGTGATTAAAATCGTTGGTATAGTACTTCGACATGCCTTCTGAAATAATACAATGTTTCAAAAACTTGCCCCACGTTTGAAGAGACAATCGAATAAACTTATTTATCGAGTAAATATTTACATTAATTGACCCATCTCCTGACTTTCATTTTGAATATATGTTGTCATATCGCTGAGCGATATGTAAAAAGTTTCAGCCGTCGCTCATTAAAAGACTGTCAACAAAGAAAATTTCGCAAATAAAACATAAAATTTTTATATCATATAGATTCCTCGAGTCTACGAACACTATATATATATATATATATATATATATATGTATAATATGTATACATATGTGCAAGTGAGGAGCGGGAGGAACTAACCTATATCGCAACAGTTTTTAGTAATTTGTCAGTACTGAAGGATACGATTTGTTGTGCATGCAAAAAGGATGTATACATGTATGTAAAAATAATGTTCGAATGTATTTTCAAGAAATGTGGATATATTAGGTCAATCGGAAAGTTCCGTCCGTCTTTTTGCAAAACGTATGGCTTTATTTAAGAAACAAAGTGAAAAAGTACATCAATCAAAGTATTGTCCATCGTTAGCGATGACTTTTTTCCATCTTTCGGTCAGCAAGCGAATTCCGCGGCGAAAGAATGACTCATCTTTGGAGGTTATCCGGTCAGAGATCCATTTTTCGACGTCTTCATAAGAATTGAAGCATTCGTCAGCAAGTGCGTGTGCCATCGACCGAAACAAGTGGTAGTCGGAAGGGGCACAGTCTGGTGAATAAGCCGCATGGGGTAATATTTCCCAGCGAAGTGCTTCTAACGTTTCTTTGACAGATTTTGTGATGTGAGGCCGAGTATTGTCATGAAACAAAATCACTTTATGCTGTCTCGTTTCATATTCTAGTCGTTTTTCGTGCAATGCTCGGCTCAAACGGATCATTTGTTCTCTGTAGAGATCCCCTGTTTGACCACTTTTCAACGGCTCATGGTACAGCACATCCTTCTGATCCCACCAAATACAGAGCATTGCCTTCTTTCCGTGGATATTCTGCTTTGGCGTCGATGTTAAAGGTTGACCGGAATCGCAAATAGTTTTTCGACGTTTAGGGTTGTCAAAATAAATCTATTTTTCATCCCCAGTGATAATACGATGTAAAAGCCCCTTTCTTTGTTGCCTAGCAAGCAAAATTTCGCAGGTGGTTTTTCTCTTTTCAATATTTCTTAGCTTCAGTTCATATGGGACCTATTTTCTTTCCTTGTAAACTTTTCCTAAGGCTTTCAAACGATCGGAAATGGCAGATTAAGCACAATTTAATGTTTCTGCAAGTTGCTTTTACGTTTGACATGAGTCCGCCATGTCCACCAATAGTCTATTTTCGTCCACACTCATCGCCCACCAATGGCTGCAATTCTTCGTCTTCGAATACTCTTGGTCCTCCAGAACGCTCTTTGTTCTTTACATCAAAATCGTCACTTTTAAAGCGTCGAAACCATTCTCTGCATGTTTTATCGGAAAGAACATTATCACCATAAACTTCTACAAGCATTCGATGAACTTCAGCTGTAGTTTTCTTCCAATTGAAGCAAAAGATTCACTTGGACACTTCGCGTAAATGACGCTTATTTGGTTCAAATTTCGACATTTTCGATGCAATAAAAAACAATGTTATTGATGCAAACGTATACCTTTATGTATTGAATGTTATTGACAGATGTCAAAACAAATCATTAAACTTCGTTTAGACATTAGAGGTTAACGACAGTTCTAGCTATAGCTACTTGCCGCTAGATGGACGGAACTTTCCGATTTATCTAATAGATTAAATCGAATTAGGGTTAGGCTTTTTGTGAAGAAGAATGCAAAGGGTGCGGCAAAGTTTATATTAATTAATTCTATAGATTATTAGTGGATATAATTTCGACATAATTATGTTCGAAAATTACATACAAAATTACATTAAATTTAAGTTCTTTTGCTAATAATTTGTTAATAAACTATGAGCGACAAAACTGAGACTTTTTGTGTGACATTCAAAGCCATGATCTTGGCAACATATGTCGAGGTGAAAGTTATTGGAAATTAATCGATTAATCTAAATATTTGTCGTATCGGCAATAATGTTAAGGTAAAATAAGGTTAAGGTAAAAAGACAATATTTATTCTCTATATAGAATTTACTGTAATTGCCGTTCTCTTTAGGGTAAAGGATTTTTAAAGCCTTTGCGATGATATCTTGCTGTCAACTATTTAAATCCTAATATTTAATTAATTTCGATTTATAAGATAAAAAAAGTTTTGTAAAAATAAAAATTTTTACTTATGTACAACATAATTAAATGTATTTATCATTTTACGAAAATTAAGTTGTACGGCTTATTCCATTTGAACAGTTACAGTACAGCTACTATAGAAACAGTTTCGTTATTTACAACTACAGCCTTATCCGTAACACGTTCATTGCCGTTTACGCGATATCGCGTGTTGCGGCCCCTCACCAAACGACCGTTCACGCGATTGTTTTTTATTATGAGTGACAAACCAGGACCCTCGAAAAGACTCAGTTCAATGCCAGTTCAATCGTGCAAAAAAGTGACTAAAAATAAATAAAAGAAAAAATGACTTTGGCCACCACACGAAATTCAAATTTCAGTTTGGCAATGAACGTGTTAAAGGAAATATATTTCTATTTTGTAAATAGCTTCTCATTTACGTTAGGATTATTTTCGTTGTAGATGATTAAACTATTTCTACTACAATTGCAGACGAAAAATTATGCAGATTAATCAGATTAAATTGAAAAGAAAAGTCAAGTATTATCTTGCAGAAATCGCAATAGTTATCAAGTTATTAATGATTGAAAATTATCACATTTTTTAATTGATGACTTGAAAATGTGCGTACTTATTTGCAAAATGGTAAAGGCTTTCTGTTCAGAATGACCTAATCTACCATTATATGACAGTAATTATATCTAGCAACAAGTTCAAGATTTAGAATTTAAAGTTCAAGATTTAGAGTTTAAAGTTCAATATATTCATATCTTATTAGCTTCATATATTGCTAGACACAGTGCTGGGTGATCCAAAGAATTTCCCACGCTACAACGCATGCCTGAAGTGACGTAGAGCTACATATATGTCAAAAACCACTGACGGTTTAAAACGCATGACAGAGGATCCATGGAGGGGCCCGCGCAAAATATCTGTGTCTTCCGTAGTTGTTTTCCCGCGAGTTTCTTCCGCGAGTGCGTAGTTTAGGGTTAAGTTACCCAGTAAACATTAAATATGTTATATTTATATTATGTCACATCAACATTATAATTTATTAATATCATTAATTAATGTAATGTAAGTGTTACTTAGTGTTTATATGTAGTGTGTAAGAATAGTGATAGTGCAATCAGTGATATCATAATGCAATCATAGTGTTCATTTTTTGTTAAATAAAATATTAAGTGCTGTGAAAATGGATGACCAACCTTCAACCAATGGCATCGAGAAGAGGAAAGTTGGAGCACAAAAATTTAGAACAGCATAGTTAGGTATGAACATTTTTAAAGATTGGTCGACATGGCAACAGGTGCGTTCAATAACAGTGAAAGTGTGTGATATTGTTAATTTGATTTTTGTTAATTCGATGATTTTGAAATTTCCAAAAATCAGTAAGTTAACAAAAGTCAAGACGCTATTGTAACAATATATTCTTGAGACTAAATAAAGCAAGAAAGTCTAGTACCAGTTTTTCTTCCGACAAATAGTTAGCAAAATATCGTAAATTAAATATTGAAAAAGTTATCAAGTTTTCCTCAAATATCTCAAAAAATATTAGACAATTAAAAAAATGTTTTAGAGAAAAGTTGTTCAAATTAACTAGTAGAAAACAACAGTGTAATAAAAAATAAGTTCCCATTTAAAAAACGCAAGTTGACCTTCAAATGACCTTGAAAATAGAGGTCAAGGTCAAAGCCAAGGTCATCATAAGGTAGCTCATTTAAATCCCTACAACTTTTATTCAGATTATTTTCCTTGAAACTTCAATATCGAAGAGTTATTCGGGGTAGGACATTAAAATGGGACACGTTGTATACTTATTTGATGTCCTTAAAACTATACAACTTTTGTCTGAAACATTTTTTTCTAAAATGCTTAGTTCTCGAGATATTTCGCCATTCCGATACTTTTTATGCATTTTCAGTATAACACCAAACATGTGGAGCATAAGAGCTGCTCAGCAGGTATTTTACCTGAGATTCGAAGATTAATTTTTTATATTCGTTTGAAATTTCGTTTTTGACCGTCTGTAGATCAAGTTGATGCTATCGATATTGTAGACCTCTTAAAAACTTGAAAGAGGTAACACGTAGTAGACAATAGGTTATCTACAAAGGTCGGTAACAGGTTACCGACAAACTAAAATATCAAGTGTCGGGATGGTAGAAACGACGTTGATGATAGAAAATATCTTGGATCATATCTTGGAAATTAATTTATGCAATATTATTGTAAAATTACGAATTATGAAAAACACACATTAGTATTTTATAAGTCAAAATTGACACAAGTCTTAAATTCTATTTTATGTCTTTGAGAGTATAATAAATTATACACTTGATACATTATGCTAATTTCATTTAAAAAATATAGAAAATTAGGAAACTTTCGAATAGAGAGGTATACTAAATATCTAAATATAACTATCTGTTTGACAGTTTCTTTAAAGTTGGTCTCAGAGAGAGAGGGGTTAACACGAAAAAGAGACGTGCGGGGAGAATGCCAATCGACGAAAAAGGAAGAAGATAGGCGAGAGTCTTTGGATTCTGGAAACTCATTCAGATAAGTTCAGTAGCTCGTTATAATTTGCTGGCGCGTAATCCGCGAACAACGGTAATGAAAACGGCGGCGGAGCGGCAGATCTGCTGCAGGAGCAATACAGCCCAATTGTGCGTCCGGTCTGAGAACAAGTGAAACAGAGGCAATGGTAATATTCTCAATAGTGAAAGTACATGAGAGCGGTGAAAGTCTCTTGAGCCGCGCTGTGCAACATAAAGGAGCCACCGCTGAGTGCCGAGTGCGTGCGTGTGCAATCGGTTGCAATGCATGTGAAAATAACCAAAACACGTATGTAACGTGCACCACCTTCTTCTTGGATCAAGTTCTTACACTTGGCTATATATTTTGTTATAACGCTGATAAAATAAGTAAATTATATTCAGTCGAACAAGAGCGAGAGAGAGAGAGAGAGAGAGAGAGAGAGGCTAAGAGAAAACGCGCGATCTCACAACACAATTATCGACTAGAAGTTGCAACGTATCCCACATTCTTTGTTTTAAGAATCTGAATCTCTGTTTATCACGAGAAATCGAGAATAAAAATAGACGGCATCTTATATCACAATTTTCTGCACGTTTGAAGCGGATGATTCTCCATAAACGCGCTAGCAGAATAAAAGAGCGCTTTAAGTAAGAATATCATCGTAAAAAGCAACAAGTCAGCTAAGGCATTGCAAATTGTATAACGATAACCTCGCCAGTACAGCAACACTGAAAAATTACACAAGGACTCACGTATTCGATTTCGAGCCTGGTGTATGCAAGGCTGTACATATCCTCTCATATTCCCTCCGGGAAAATGTTTCCTTCTTATATGTCTAAGATAA